ATATCCTAGAAGCTTACGAAGAAGGCCAGCATGCCAAATCCTGTCAAATGCTTTCAATACATCTAGAGCCACAGCTCGAGCTTTGCCGTTATTATCAAAAGCTTGGTATACAAATTCAGTTATGGACATAGACACATCAGCGGTAGACCGGACAAAGTGAAAACCATATTCTTTGTCAGAGAGTATGTGGTGGGAGGTAACATGCTTAACCATTTCAGCATTGATTAAACATTCTCCTATAATCAGTTAAGTTATATAGTTAACACTCCTCGGTCTTTTGAAAAGGAGTAGAGGTTTATCCTTTGTTTCCTGTTTAGAATTGGGTTTCTAGTTCCTTCTAAAGTCTACTTCAACTCTATACTCCTGTCTTTTCCTATGCTAATACAACACCACACAGTAACCTTCTACCTTGAGTGGCTCTTGGGCCTTGTATTGGGTGAACAGTAATATAAAAAAAACTTTTATTTATGTCCCTTTTTTTTTTAGTTTAATTCTCCCATCTTTTCTCCATTAAGTGATAGAAATTTAATTTCTCTAGTTGATGTGGAATTCATTGTGAATCATTTATTTTTCGTTATTGTCTGAATGACTGTTTATTTATGCTAGTGATGATATTATTATTTCTTATTGCACTATTATGTTTAATTAGTTAACTGCTATTTTTGCTATAGATTCTCACCCTTCTATTAGTAAAACCTTTTTCTTTTGTTTTTGTAAATATTTGTATTCATTGTAAATAAACATTGGATAATTACTATTATACCTCCTGCTCACTGACAAATATTGTACATATGGGACTGGTTAAGATTTTATAGATCACTTATGGCATTATGATATCTGCTGTACAAACAAGAACCTTAAATGTCAATGGATCAGTGATTGTGACAAGATAAATTAAATGATAGGACAGAGATGACTAGATGTTCTTTTTGCCTCATTTTTAGGTCCTTGTCATATATTTTTTGTGTTAATTCAAGAATGAATATTTATGATCTGATGATCATTTATGGAGTGAAACTTATAGTTACCGTACAGTGTTGATCTATAAGTTCATACTATTTCTCACATTTCTCCCATAAATACAGCAAATTTTAAACATTATAATTTATTATATATAAAAGGAGTCCTGCTATTTATCCATAGCTAGGGAGAGAAGAGATGGATTCATACCTTTCCTAAGGGTAATAGTATGTAAGTGAATGAACTAAAGTGGAATTTGAACTTGGGTCTTCGATTCCTCAATCCAAGCCACAATCCATTACTCTACCATGCCCCCTGTAGGTGTGGATAAAGAGCTTGTAACATTGGAAATTGCAAAGATGGTTGGCAGGTAGCACTGAGCTTTGAAGAAGTTTGAAGATCCTGTGCAACTCTGATGTGGGTCTGATATGAATAAATTTATCTTGATCAATGTCTTGTATCAAGCAAGAAGTCATAAAGTAGTTTTCATGCATTGTGGTAGTAAAGAAGTATCAAAAAGCACAAGATGTCACATCCTAAATCAAGTAGAAAAATATGTTAGACTGATCACATAAAGATATCCATAAGAAAATGAAATCAGATAAGAAACAGAATATATGGAAATATATTTTTCTTTTTCTCCTTGCATTAAGGGATTTCTGTTGTTTACCCAGCAAATGCTTGATTTGTGAATATTAACAATTCCTCATTTAAAAAAAAATTATTATGAAATTTTGTAAATTACTGCAAGGTGTTTGTTGTTAGATAAAAGTTAACAAGCTCTTTGAACTGACTATTGCTATTTAGACTTTTTAACACAAATTTAGACATATTAAACAAGATTAGGGTCACATGATCTGCAGGAGGCCTCAAAATGTTTCCTTGCATGAATCCTTAATTATTTTTAACCAGAGACTCTGAATTTTATATAACTTAGAACTTCACCAAGTCTAAACCTTCCATTGTTTTAGTCTGCATTGTTGTGGCTTTGTGGCAAACTAAATGATGTTTGGAAAATGTCTACAACACCATTATTGTGTATGAATGTCCATCTGCTGCTTTATTGCCCTTTGTTCAAATTTTAGCCAAATGCTAAAGGGAATGAACATGCCACAAAATTACACAAGACTGCCAGATTGTTTCTTTGGTTGTTGAAATAAATGATTTGTTAACAAGGCAATTAAGCAGTTAATTTGAAGTCTGTAAAACAATGCCAAGTTGGCAGTGAACAGCTAAAAATAAACAATGGTTCTCTTAATCAATTAAGAGTTAGTAGTTCTTGGTGAGAAAATTTTCAAATTTCACTCACATTGAAGTGTATCTGTAAATCAGTGGCTTGGCTAGAACAATTTCAATTTGTCGTCTGCTTTCTTTCCTTACATGAAAATTATTAACAAAATTAAATAATTTCATAAACTCTTAACTGTGGCTAATTGTCTCCAACAAATCAATCAAGGAAATTAAAAATGTTGAACTGAATGTCTCACCTTCTTGTTGTTTATAGAATTACATTCCTCAGTTCACTAATTTTTTTTTTACTGTACATAATCTGTCTCCTTAAAAGAATTTTTCTCTTGCTAAAGGTAGGGGAGATTTAATTATGATGATTTTTATCAAATCATAAAATATGTGAAAAGAGTAGATTACTTGAATATTTGTAAACTTAATTGTTTTATTTACATTAATGTCTTTTTCATGTGTCTCCATTTTACTTTTGTAAATTGAATATATGGAAATGAAGTTTGCCATTTCCTTGTGAGGTTTTCTGTGGATATTATACTTGACTGTATTTATTTCTTGATCCATAACCAAAGTTTTGTTCCTCACATGTCAAGCCACATTAGTGTAACACAACCTTTTCCAAAATTTTCAGATAATTCTGTTGTCATAACTTTCCAAATGGTGGTTGGCCTGCCTATGGCTTTCAAGGATGCACACAATGAATATTCAATGTACACCACAAACATTTGTGCTAAAAATTGGGAGGTTATTAATATAAAGTACAAACATGCGGGTGTATAAATTTCTAAATCTTCATTTTAATAAAATCTTGTATTTATCCATACATTAATGGAAAAGTTCTTTGCTGTGTAGACTCTATCTCCCTCTCTAATAAAAGCTGGTTCAAATGTTACTGAATTTCTCAAGGGAAGCACATAAAGTACATAGAAGTTTTTTTTTTTTTTAGTTTTGTGTAGGTAGGTGTTTAGAAATATAAGTAAATGAGCAATACATTAGATAAAATGTTTGTTAAAACCAATAAAAGCTGAGCTTGTAAAGAGTTACACTTGTGTACAAGATTTTGAAACCTCATTTTGAGATGAAGAAAAAAAAAAAAATTTGGAACAATATAATAATGGTATTTTTAGGTTAAAACTGGTACCTGATGGGAGTGGGTAAGAAGCAATTCTTAACTGAAGATATGAAAAATATTCCTTCAGTATTTCAACCAGTGTATGTATTTTCATCACAACTGGGATTGTTACAGTCTATTAATCACAGGACTGAGTGTTAAAGTCTCTCTCTCTCTCTCTCTCTCTCTTGTAAGTGATGTTAAGAACTGACAAGATTGGAAATATTGTATTTGGACTTATCAAAAAATTAACTTTTATTATAGGAAACATTAATTTTTCACTGTGCTATATTTTTAATCAAATTGGTGCTACCAAATTAAAACTCTGTTAGATTTTAGTTTTCTTGTTGAAAAGGAAAAAAAAAAACAATGCAAGCTGTCAAGATGGTCAGAATTCTAATATTGATGCCTTTAAAAAATTCCTCTAATTTGACTACATATAGATTTTCTCCATTTTGTTTTGTAACTTTTGAAGGAATCTATACTTATTCAATTTGTTTAATTTACATCTGGCCACTATATGAAATGTTACTTCATGTGATTTCCTTGGATGAATATATCACTAAGTTCTTTTCTTTTTACATGCCCTGTCCCTTCAGAGATGGGAAATCACAACCCTTCACAACTTCATGTCTTTTGTAGCTCTAAACAACATTTGACTCTAACAGTCATTGTCAAATGGGAAGATAGATATGACATCACATTTCAACACTCTTTTTTTTTTTTTTTTTTTTTTTTTTTTTTTTGTTTCTAACAAAATTTTACTATTTACTAATACTTTGTTTAATTTCAGGAATATCACTCCTTGGGCTGCCTTTCTTGTTGATAATCTTACATTCTATATTACAATTAATAGATCTTTCTCCTTGCTTCCTTTTATTACCTTGTCTCAGAGGTATTGTAGTTTTTCTTCAACATCTATCATCAACACAGTATCTTCTGTGTGTCTTATGTTTTTAAGATTGTCTGCTGATAGTGGATCCTGGTAGGTCTTCTAGTTCTCTTAGAATTGCCCACCTGTATAGGTTAAATAAATCAAGTGAAAAAATGCATCTTCTTTCTATTTTTGTATACTTGATCAGTTCATTTTCTATCTGCATGCAGTTAATTTGTATGCAGCAAATGTTCTGAATTATTCTAATATCTTTTTTACATAAATTAAGTTTCCCTAGCAGTTTAAATAGGTCTTTGTGTCATATTTTATCATATACTTTTGCACAATCTGTGCTCTTCTGAATTTGTATTGCACACTCTGATCGCATTTTGATCATAAAGATAGCATTTCTTGTTTCGGTGTCTTAAATAAAGCCATACTGTTCTTGACCTATTTCCAGTCTAATTCTTCTGTAGGCTCTATTCATTAGAATCCTATGATTCATTAAGCTCATTGTCCAATAGAGCTCACATTCATTTATATCTGGTTTCTTTGGCATCAATAGATTTACTGAGGTCTTCTGAGGTTTTGCCACAGTCATATATTTTATTTATCATTTCAGTATTCTTTTTAATCCCAAACAATCCCATCTGATCCTGTAGCTTTGTTTCTGTTCATCTTGGCCAGATTTACCTCAGATTTTAACATTAAAGATGTTGAAACCCTTTTGATGTTTTTATGTATGTGCTTTATGTTGATTATATTTTTTAAAATCTTTTTCTATTATTTACCATTTTTGGTTTTATTTTTCAGAATGGGTAAACTTTGTGATGTGACTTTGCTGGCTGGAGATATTGAAATATTGGCCCATCGTGCTGTCCTGGCTTCTTGCAGCCCTTATTTTTATGCTATGTTCACTGCAGAGATGGCAGAATCCAAAGCTAAAAAGGTGACCTTGCAGCAAATTGACCCAGCCGCCTTAAGTATGCTGATTGACTTTGTCTACACATCAGAGATTCATGTCACAGAAGACAATGTCCAGGTATTCCATATTCCCCCATCTCACTCCCAGCACAAATACATTTTCACTTCCACTTTTGTAACAGATAGAATTTTTATGGATAGATAGAAACATAAATTCTGCTTTGTACACAGATTTGTTGAGAAGATAAATGGTTTTGTTTATCCTAATATAAAGTCATCTGCAATAAACAACAACACTTGTGAATGAAAATATTATTTCCCATTTGCACTACGTTACTAATGTCTATCAGTGTTGTGATAAAAAGTAACAGAAATGAAAGATCTGAATTTAAAAAAAAATAAGGTATATTTTCAAAGAGATAAGAAAAAAAATTTTAAAACACCCTTCAGCTTCTCAGGACTGGGTCAGCCAAAAATTAATTTTTGTCAGCGGATTTGAGAACAAAGGAAGTGACCAAATGAATGGACCCAGTCATTGGGGATACCCCTACCAAGGAAGGCTAATCTCAAGCAGTAACAGATTTATAGAACAATAAGCCTGGTCAGCCACCTGATCAAAATTGTGCTCCATATTATCCCAACCCTCTGAAACCAAGGCTGAAAAACTACCTCTGAGCAGGCAGGTTTTAGTGTTGGATGGAGTACAGTGGAACAAATCTTCAACTGTAGGGGTCACCATTGAGAAACATCTGCAAACCAAAGAGTACTCTTCCACAATTTCATTGATTTCAATAAAGCATTTGATCAGGTATAGCATGATGGCCTCTGACACATCCTCAGAGGATTCAACATAGAAGAAGGGCTCGTACAAGTCATCCAGGCCCTCTATGATCAATGCCACCAGTGCAAGGTGGAAATTTCTTCCAGACAACTATTGTCATTAGATAGGGATGCCTACTCCAACACTTTTTAACCTGTTTCGGGAGAGAATTATGCAAGAAACCCTCCACAACCACAATACTTCTATCTCTATCAGTGGTAGACTTGTCTGCAACCTGCGTTTTGCAGACAATATTGACCTTATGGCAGGCAGTGACAGTGAGCTGCAAAACCTGACCAACAAACTCATTAAAAGAACTGACACAGGGAATGGAACTCAACACAAAGAAATTTAAAGTAATGGTAAATAGCCCAAGCAACACTGATGCCAGTGTCACCATGGACGGCGAACGACTGGAGGAAGTGTCCAGCTTCAAATACTTGGGAGCGACTCTCTCAAAAGATGGCATCAATGATGCAGAAATCTTCACAGGGATCTCTACAGCCACAGCAGCAATGGCCAGACTGGAAATGATATGGAAGTGCAACATCAGCTTCTAGACCAATTTCAAATCACTGATCATATCCAGCCTCCTTTATGGATGTGATACTTGGACACTCTTGGTTGAAGCAGGAAAAAGGATCCAGGCATTTGAGAACAAATGTATGAGAAAGCTCTTCTGCATCTCCTACTGGGAGCACAAAACCAATGGCTATGTACAAAGCAAGGTCAAATGTCTTGTGAGCCAACAGCAACAGTCTTTTTGATATATTAAGCATTGAAAGATGCCCTGGTTTAGCCCTGTCACACAGCATAACAGCCATAAGACCATTATGCAAGGTACTATTGAAGGCAGATGCAAACGGGGACGGCAATGCAAAACCTGGTCAGACATCAAAGAGAGCCACTGCCAACAGATAATCCTGGAAGAGGTTTGTCTGTTTCTTCTGCTTTTAGATCCCCTTGGCAATTAAAACTTTCAAGTGACTGATGATGATGTTTGATTCATCTTCGATGATGAAACTGTGACTCATTATGTGCTTTTATCACTCTTGGTTGAAATCTTATCTAAAATTTAAATTACAAATTTGCATTATTTATTGTCAATTCTTCTTTTCTTTTGCAGACCTTGCTGCCTGCCTCTAATCTGCTGCAACTCATTGAAGTTCAAGAAGCCTGCTGTGAATTTTTACAAAGTCAACTCCATCCTTCAAACTGTTTAGGAATTAAAGCTTTTGCTGACCTCCATGACTGCACAGACCTCCATATTTATACACAGACCTACATCGAACAGCATTTTAGGTTAGCAACCTTGACATATAGATATTTTCTTTTGCTTTTGTTAATGAAATTCTAATAAAAATGATTATACCTCTCACTTCCTAAAGAGCATATGTAGACCTATGTTAGAATCAGAGAAATAAGCCAGTTATATTTGGTATAAACTTAGAATTGATTATACTAATAAAATATATCATTTTATTTATTGGAATTGCTGCTGCTCCTTCAGCAACCTTTTGTTAATCATACTTTCTCTGTTTATATGATCTGTTATTTACTACCTTTCTCTACTTAGCATAAAATAGGATCATGTACTGTATTGGTTGAAAAGATCCAAAACATTCTTTGTTCTCATTTGTATGAGGCTTCTTATTTTTCTAATTCCATTGTAAACCTTTTTTTTATCCAACAATTTTAATAAATTTAATGACAAATATTTTTACATAAATTGAATATACAGCAAAGGTATTAATTTTTGGCCTGACACTTATTAATTTGTAAAATATTTTTTATGAGAAAATCTTGGTTAACAGTTAAAGTAAATTTGTTTGCCCAAAATTTTAAATTATCAATTTTTATTTTTTTCTCTATCAACATCAAATCTCCAAATTAAGTTAAAGGCAGAACATTGTTTTGTCAGCTGATACCAGATGCTTATATTCCCATCAATTTCCTTTTAGTTTTTTTTTTCACTAAACTGGTTTATTTAGTTGACATCAACATTGATTTACCAATAAATATTTAGTGTAACTTAGTTAAATGTGGGTCAAGTCAGAAGATTGTGTTGCCTCAATGTTTAAATTTAAAAGAAAAAAAACAAGAATTAAAATAGGATCTTTTACCTAATTTTAGACACCAATCTCTGGTACTGGTGAGAAATATGCAACTATTTCAGCCACCAAGCAGTATATCTGATATACTGGCATAAATGAAAGCAGTTAAAATGAAGTTCAGGATATTACTGTCTTCACAATTTCTGATGTACAAAGAAAAATATCTTTTTACTATTTTACTAGCAGTAGTAATTCTACATATTTTATTTACATATAGGAGATGTGTAAACATTTTCTTCAAATTATTGATAATATATCTCCATAGTATATGATTGATAGCAAGGTGATATAATAAATCTTCATGCTATATGATTGCAGGATAACATATCGTGTTATGAACATGAAATGTAATTAATGAATTCTGACTGAAGCTCCTTGCGTTCATTTCATACTACTGCCCTCAGAAAGGCACTCAGTCACATTACCAAACATCATGGCAAAACATGCCACAATTGTTCGCAATCATAAAAGTAGAGGAGCTCCTTTTTGGAAAACACACTTCCTGTAGTAGTAACAAAAAACTGTTACTGTTTTCTGATATTTTTATAAAAAATAAAAGAATTTATTCATTTATTTAGAATTCTAAATAAGAATGAGTTGAATAATTATTTTTGAGATTTAAATAAATAAAATGACTAACTAATGAGAAACTTCACTTGATATTTCTTGCTTACATTTTTCCACAATTGTAATCCTCTCATCCCTGTCATCAACCTTTAGGCCATGATTAGATGAAAATTGTCTTCCTGGCCATTGACAACACTTGTGATATTTCAATCTGCCAAGCTTTTGGTCACTGCAAGTGGAGATTTTCTTCCTGCTAAAAAAAATAAATCTGGAGATTAAAACAAATCAGAATACAACGTGAAGTGATTACAACAAATGATGAAGTCTCGCAGCTGTAGCTGAAATGTCTTCAAATCGGATTCTAGTTGAGTGATGAATACAAACATAGATAAAAAAAATTTATTTAAACACAACAAAATTGCTGTAATTAATATTAAATTTCCAACAACAGTTTAATTACAGTAACTATATTTTTTTGGGGGGGGGTGTAAATTCACCAAAAATGTTAATAAGTCTTACAAAATCTTGGGGAAATCAAAAATCAAAGCAGTTGTAGGAATTATAATTTGTTAATATTTTATTGGCAGGTGTGAATGTGTGTTTGTTATAAGTTTCCTTGCAACACAGTGACAGCATTCATTTATAAATTATGTGATTGAGAGCTGTGTTTACTATCTAACATTGTTTCATTCAAAGAACCCCCAAAACTACTTTCAAACTATGAAAAACTACCCAAACCCCCTCTCTTCATCTGTATAGAACATGGGTGTCAAAAGGATTTCACTGGCTCTGAATAAGTTTATTGTTTGAAAAACAGTTGGCAACCAAGAGTTCTTTTTGTAAAATTTTCTGTTGAATAGTATTTAAGTAAACTTGACCTTCTTACTCTCCTCCTTCCAGTGACTTCTACTAACAAGATCAATATTAAGGTTCACTTTGTAATGACAATGCAATCAGTAATTCTTCCTCTAGATTTTTCTTGTTCTCATATCCCAAAATAAGACCTCAAATCACTTATCACTTAATTTACTAGTTGCCTCAATCCTCTTTGGGAGGAGAGGATTACTCTCATCCTGTTACAATGATAAACCTTTCTTGTGTGACATGTTTTTCTAATTGAAAACTTTTTCTTTCTTTTTTTTTTTTTTCACCAGTGAAGTTGTCCATTATGATGAATTTTTGTCCTTATCAGCTCCTCAAGTGGGCAAACTTATAGCAAGTGATCGACTGACTGTACCCTCAGAAGAACAGGTAAGGGCATACTTGAACTACTTTTCCTTATTTGAACAACACATTACAATGCCATCTTTTAAAAATGGAATCATTATTTTGAATTTTGCTATTTTTAATAAATTAAACTTTGCCACTTGTTATTAATTTTTGACCAGTATTTCTTTTATTTTTAAATCTCTTGTTTTTACTTTTAGTAATAGTAATCTTAAGTTGTCCAAACTTCTTACATTAAGCATTGTCAATCTATATTAATATTCTGTTTTGTTTGCATCAGTTAAATTTACACATTCCTATCTAGTATCTGTGTTTGATATGTGACCCTTTATGACAAATAAAGCTCACATAATAATATTAAACGAGAAAGAACTCTGAAGAAAAATAAAGGAGAAGGAAAGTGGTGGGGAAGAGGTTGTGAAGGAGTGAAAGTAAGAGGTAAGAAAGCTAAAGAAAAACAAAAACTGGATGAAACACACACAAGAGGTGGAGACAAAATGCAGTTATAGAAAGACAAGTCAGGATATCAAAATACAATGAAAGATTGAAATGCAGGTAGGAATGAAAAGGTGTAAAAACTGTGATATATTAAGATGAAATCAAAGAGGATACAGTAGAAAATAATTGTACCTTATTCTGTTTTTTTTTAAATATAGAACTAGTCTCTGTTTGCATAAGATTTAGATGGACACACAAAAATTGTAAGGATAAAAGAAGAGAATGAGAAAATGGTGAGAGAAGAACAGACATGAGATAATCAAAACTCTTGGTTGTCAACACTCATAAAATTTCCCTGTGTCCAACTAGTTATTTTTTACTAGTTTTTTTTTTTTTTTTTAATTTTATTTCAGTTACATTTTGTTGTCATTCTACTGCCATTATTAAATAGTATAATTAGTCTTTTATTTGTAATTGCCACTGGTTATTAACAGCCATGGAATAATTGTAAAATAAGGAAATTTGGGTTATACCAGAAAAATTAATTTTTAAATACCCCTAAATTTTAGGTTTTTTTTTTTTTTTTTTTTTTATTTATTATTATTTTCAAAAATATTATTCTATATTTAAAATTTGTATCTGAGAGTCTTTGTCTCTATTCTAGTCTATAAATTTCAAAACTTCACAACACCATTTACTACTGTTTGGCACATTAGTATAGCCATACTATGGTTGAAAATCACTAGTTTATTATATAGTTGTTTAGAAAGTAAGTAAAATGAATGCTTGATCAGGAATTCAATGTTGACATTTCAGTTTAAGAAAAGCCAAATTCTTTTGGGCAATAAAAAATTTGGCTCTAGGTTCTTGTTCTCACTCACATTCATTAATTGTACATAAAATTGCTCATTGAAAAGATTTTAACAATTGCAGTTCAACTCAAGATTGTGGACAATCAAATTATTTCTCAATATTTTAAATATCAAATGTAGATCACTTAGTTGCCAGCTTTGACTCTATCTGAGGAGCAAAAATAGTTAAAATAATAGCAATGTCAATGGAAAAACTGTTCTTTTGATACCTTTTTTTGTGTGGACACAAATTCTTTTTGCTTATACAATAAATAATAAGATAGGATGCCAGTTGTACTTTATCATTAAGAGTGATTTACAAAGAAATTTCACTGATAAATCCATTTACTCTCAGTATCTCCAATGATTCACTAAAAAAAATTAGCATACCATGATAAAAATATGCCCTAAACTTATTACTTTTTATCAAAAAATGATGCTAAAATCAGCAATTTTAGCAATTTCAAAGTGAAATCTCCTTCCAGTTAATTTAAATTAGTTTTGAAATACAGCAAAGTATTTTGCTTATTGGAAATATTAAATTTAATCTATTTACTTGGAATTAAAACTAAAATAAAAGCTTCAAGAAAGTTTCTTCATTATTAAAAATTCATTTTAAATCTTGGGTATCACAAATCTGTGGAGGTACCTAACTTAATTATTTCTGAAAATATTCCACTGATTTTCTTACAAGCTCAGCATGTTTTGTCTTAATGTTCCTTCCTTTTCAATTTGAATGACTTCAAGTTTTCATTTGTAAGCACTATGTGGCCTGAATTCTTGTTTGTTCCTTTTTATACTTAACTAGCAGTAAAGCCCGGCGTTGCCCAGGGATGTAACAGTTAAGAGATAGATCAAGTATTGACCATCATAAAGACTGAAAAATAAAATTGACAAAGATTATTGTTTAAGGTTGACGGACACGCATGTCTTAATTAGTTTTTTTTTTTTTTTTTTTTTCTTTTTACAAATTGGTCAAACTCAAACAAAAACATTGTTTTCAATCGTTATGAGTCTACCAATTGAATAGAATTTTATTATAAACAATTGTCTTGTAAATGGAATTTTTCAAGCATTGTGAATGTAAAAATAAAGAAAAAAGTGTGCAAGACAATAAGAAACACTACCTACCAAAAAGTGAAGTTTTGTTGAAATCGGTTGAAAAATGTAGGAAATCCAATCCCATATATAAACGAACACACACACACAAACAAATAACCTGGGTTTTATAATAATTATAACTCGATATGAGTTGTCCCCCTTTCAACCCCCCCCATGTCTCTTAATTGTGTTTTCAAATTGATTTCATGCAAAAACAATTGTGTTTTTCCAATTTTTGAGGCTGTCAGAACCACCGCAAGATAATTTTATGTAGTCCTGTGAAGTTTTGTTGAAATCAGTTGAAAAATGTAGGAAATCCGATCCAATATATAAACGTACAGACACACATACACACACACAACCTGGGTTTTATAATAAGTATGATAAGGCCATGCTTCAAACATTTATGTTTATATTGACTTATCCCCAATTCATTCTTGGCAAGAGCTTTTAAAGGGGATGCAGATGACATTCCTTCATACACTTGACATTATCATCTGTCAGTATATCTGTTTAACTTTCTTAATTGCACAAGGAGATTTTCATGATTGAGGAGTAACTCTGCTTTTTCTAATAACATACCCATTTTATCTTGTGGTATAAACTTGATTCAATTAAAAAAAAATCAATTTCACACTCAAAGTTCAAATGTAAGTAAACTTGTGTTCATTTCAAAGGAATAGTCATACTGTATATGAGTACCGCAACTCTCTCGCTCTCATTAAACTTCTACATGATATGAAAAATGAGCCTTCAAAGATATTCTGACTGAACTTACTGGACTATCTGTGGAATCTCCAGATCTTTGCCTAATTCTCAAACTGTCAAATACCAATTTTCATTGATTGCAACCAGCAACATGTTCAACATTTTTGAGGTGTTCTGCTTGTTATGCACTTTCCAGAACATGCTCCTCTTCTGTAGATGCCTGGTCTGAAGTGTCACTACCAAAATCTTATCTCTGTTTCACTCATTGAAAGTGGCCATAATTTTTCTGTGTTCAGATAGACAAATGTCTAAGTTTCAAGTAAAACTTGGTGCATATTTTATGTGAATACAACAGTCATATAATACACAAGCTCACACATTGGTGATTCATTGCTAATTGAGTAGGAGAGTATCTGTTCACATGTGTGAAATAAGGTCTTCTCTGATTGGTTGCAAAGTTACTTCAAGGCTGCATAAATGGTTTGAAATATTAAAAATGGCTGGATAGCTTTTAAACAGGCCTCATATAAGTTTTGTTTAACCTACTGTTCACTTCCTTTGTAGAAATTTTTATTTGTTCCAATCCTGATTGGAATGACTGCAAAATATTCCCCTCCCTAAATTTATAGATAAAATATACAAATGCATGCTAGGATCTCTTCTTAGACAATAAAATAGGCCACTTCTCAGTCTCATCCAACTTAGTTCTGTTTTGTCTTGAAGTTAGAACGCCGCAAATGCTCATCTGTATCCCCTTTTGTGTGTTAACACCATTCTTAGTTTGTGACCTTTTTACCTTATTGCTGTTACTTTGTCTTGCATATACTGTTTGCTTACTCATTGTTATTCTTTGTCCTGTTCTTTTCTTGTTATTGTTTACTGCAAACTTTGTCAGTTCTGTTTGTTGGACATTAACCAATTACTCTACATTTTTTTGTTCCATTTTTATTTATTGCCTCTGACAAGAAATATCTAAGAATTGTTACAAGCATGTTTAGATGAGAATCATCTTGCTAGAAATGACATATTGTATTTTTTTTACATTTAAACATCTGAAGAATATAGCAACCCACAAATGTGGTAATAAGCAACACAGCAGAAATAGGGGAAAATTCATAAAACTTCAACAATATCTAAGTTTCTACGAAACCTGTTTTCCATTATTCTTGCTAAAAACCTTTATTTTGCAATATCTTTAATCTGTTGCTATCAGTTTGATTATGAAAATAAGCATAAACCCCCGGAAATAGAAGATTATTCTTAAGTTTGACTCCAGTAAATGCTTAAAAGAAAAGGTAATTTATTTTATAGATGCATATAAATACACTATAAATATACATTTCTGTCCTGTGGCATCAGATTTTTTATTTCTAAATAATAATATATTGATTGGCAATGAAATTCATTTATCCCTAGATACATATATAGACATAAAAAATTTTAATAAACAAATTTGCTTGTCCATGGCAAATTTAATAAAAATTAATTTGTGCTTTGTTGTTTACAGATAAAATCACTTGAATATTTGTGAAGTTAGAAAAGCTTTAAATAACAACTTGATCATAATTGCTTTGAAAACAGTTTGTTTTTTGTATATTTTATGCAAATGCAGTTGAAACTGATTCAAAAATAAAAGCAAAAGGTAGCATATCAAGAATACTACATACTTTCTATTAAAACAAAAAAAAAATAATATGAAAAGAGAAATTAAATGAGACAATTCTGTTATATTTTCTGGAGATTTTATCACTTTAGACATTAAATGCTCTTTGAAATGTACTGTTGCTGTTGTGTTACATTGTGGCAAAACTCACTGGTTCTCAGGGAAATGACAAGTTCTAAAGGCTACCACACCATCTGTAATCTATTCCCATTGCTGCAAACTGTTCTTTGCTAAATTGCAACTGATGTGGTTTCCTGCCAAGTTGGATATCTGACAGGTCTCTGGTAAACCTTTCAGTAGAAAATGAATTCAAATCACAAGTCCATTCTGAAAATAACAAACAACTTTTTATTATTGGCAATTACTGCACAACTTTGTCTTTCTTTTTGTTTGTAGCCAGACTGAATGCTAGTCTCTACATAGACTCTTTCTTTTCAGGCCCTTTTCTATGAGCAGTCAGTCTAACAATAATAGTAACTTCTTTCATCTTTGTTCTTTTAAAAGTTACATTCTTGCTTTTAATTTGACTCTGTCCTTATATCTCTGATGTAAATTAGTTCCATTAGTTTTAATGCCCATGAGACAAAATGGGCCTTACTGACTGATTGGGGCAGCTTCTTCCAACGTCTGTGGATGTGGACCTTTCTGTTTATAAAGTCTTTGGATACCGAAATTGTTATATAGATCTTTTCTTTAGACAAAGAAGATTCTCCTGACAAAACGCAGATGCCCTGAGACTGGCTAGCTGCAACCCCTGCTAGATGAACCCATAAATAAATATATTGCTTTATTTTCCAAAATAGGGTGAAGTGACAGGAAACCTGGATTTTGGGGTAACAGGAAAAATAATCAGATAATTTTTGCTCACTCAGTTATTCGAATATTCTGTTATATAAACACCCTTTTAAATTTGGAATATGGGTTTCAACTTTCACAGATTCCAATTTCAAGCCTTCATGAAGTGTTTCTTTTTTTTTTTTTTATACATACTAATTAACTGATTCATTTGTTTTTTGCCCATTATAGTTTTTTCAACCTTCCTTATCCCCATACTCATTTTCATTTATTTTGTGTAACTAATTCACTTGCTCCAGCTGTGAAGCATTATTCATACACTACTAAAATTTTGAGCAAAGTGGTCACATTTCCACAGATAATATTAACAACACAAATGAGGAGTTGTCTAAACAAAACTGTGAATATAAAATGTCTATTTTTAACAGGTTTTTGAATCTGTTCTCTCTTGGATTGAACATGATATGCACAATCGTCAACATAATATTGCTGAACTGATGGAACATGTTAGGCTACCATTAATGTCACAAGAGTTCCTTGTTCAGCGGGTGGAATCTGAACCGATGATAAAATCTAATAGTCAGTGCAAGGATCTCTTGATAGAAGCAATGAAATATCATCTCTTAAAAGCAGAACAGAAAGTACTCTTCAAAACACCAAGGACATTACCAAGAACACCAATTGGATTACCAAAGGTTTGTGATCTTTTTTTTTATCCAAATAAAAAACATTAAACACTAGAAAAGATAAACAAATTGTTTAAAGGCAGTGATAAGTATTTTTTGTACAGGGTATTAATTTCTGACCCAATTTTTAATATACTTTCCACAACTGAGTCCTTATACCAGGCCAACATTAATTTTTAAATATCAAGTCCCAAGAGAAATGATTTTATCTTTCTAATACAAGGATATGAAAAAATGTAATCAGGAAAAATTGAATCTTTTAATAAAAGAACAGAACAACACCACAACTATTTTCTACATGCTCTATTTTTTCTTCTATTTCTGTAGACAGGGTTTTTGTCTTTCTGATCTGTTTTGACTAGAAGAAAGTTGGCAGTATTCTTCTGGAAGAATTGTCCTATCCCCTGGAATTTTAAGAACTTTCTTAGATATTATACATAAATATATTTTTCAAGACTTTTTGCAGTGCATTAACATTGCAGAAGATTCAGTGAAGAAATCATTTTCATACACACATGCAACTCAACTTTTCAAGAATGATTTCATTTTCTCAGTTCATATTGACTTTGGATTAGTTACTGTGATATATTTAAACAATCTTTCTTAAATTCTGCTAACAATGTCTATCTGTCAATTTTATTTTTTTATTTTATTTTTTTACTACATCTTGGTATTATCTACTAATATTTTATATTATTTATATTTTGTTAATAGTTGTATTTTGGTTGTTTGTGATGATTAATCATAAATTGCATTAACTTTGGATAAGTGACAAGTTAATTTATGAGAAGGTGTTGTACTTTTGTAGCCAATGTAAGAATTAAATGTTTTCTGATTATAGATATTGGGTATGTAATTCATAAACAACATTTGTTTTTAGATTTGGTGGGCGGGGGAAAGGTCCTAAGTTATTGGTAATTTTAAGATCAGATATTTTAAACCCTTTTATAATAAATGATAAATCTAAGATATTTATTGAATTCTTTAAGTGCATAATATCAACAAATTGTATTTAGAATTTCTTCCTCATCTTGTTTATAGTTAGATTGCATCTAGTTATGATGATCATTTGTCAGTTTTTCTGAAAATCTTTATATCCTTGTGTTCCTTGTGAAATGTGTTACTCTAATCCCATTTGGTCTGCTTTTTTTTTTTTTTTTTTACTTGAACTTATTTTTTTTCCCTGTTTTGATGAATTCCTATGAAATTACCATGGTTACCAGCTGAGCTGCATTTTTATTTTTATTAATTTAATTATTCTTTTTATTGCTGAATAACATTAAAACTTTCTTACCTCCTTAAATCTATCTTTATATTTTTTTTTTATTAATAATACCCACCACTGGTAAAATAATTATTGCCTTTTGTAAATCCATTTAAAGATTTATAAAGTGCAGCAAACTTAATACTATTTAATAATTTTTTTGTTTTTTTGTAATTTGTTATTATTTTCTAATGTTTAGGTTTTACTAGTATTAGGTGGACAGGCTCCCAAAGCCATCAAAAGTGTAGAGTGTTATGATTTCAAGGAAGAACGCTGGTACCAATTGGCAGAAATGCCATTACGCCGTTGTCGATGTGGTAAGCCAATTTTATTCCTTATTGTTAAATGATTACCTTTCCCTCATATGAATGTTTGATTTGTGGATGAGATGCAAATAAATACATTAAAATTTCTGCTGACTGACATTGAAAATAATTAACTGCAAGTCAATAAACACATTAAAATATTCAAACCAAGACTGAACTTTCTTCTCGTGTTTTACATCATGAAAGTCTGTTGTCACTTTCAAGTGACCAATACAGCAAATATCTTGCACGTTGTTTCCATCTCATAGGAAGAAAGTGTTGGATCATACAATAAATTCTAGATCAGAGCTTTGCACACTTTTAAACCATCAACCACTTCATGTGATCCTTGATCCCTCATCAATCCCTAGACATATACAAAGAAACATCAATAAAGATTAATTTTTAATTAGAACTAGAAATTTTTCTTCCCATACTGGACATGTTTGTTCAAATTATAATAATTAGAAAAACTCAGATTTTTATTGAATTGGAAGGATGTGTTTAATTAACAAGGGCATTGATTTATTAACCACTTTAATTGAAATAAGATTACCTACCGGACTGTTATCCACATTGCAATATTCACAACACTCCGACCTTCTTCAGGTGATTGGAATTTCAAACCAAACCCTTTATTTCATCCATCATTTTATTTTTCTAGTTCCACGTTTCAATTATTTCCCTTTAACTCAACTCTCCAAGTTTTTTTGGTTCACCACCGCTGTGGCCTGGTATTGAACTCGCAACACTTAGTCAATGTTTAGTCACTGGATCTAACCAACATCTTTATCCACTGGGCCATGAGGACATCTGTGCATGAATTTTGGGGACTTAATGTCTTATTTTTTATCAGTGCTCATATAGCTGTGGTAGGAAACACAAAAGAGAAAGAGGTAAGACTGCAAGAATATAGTAAAGTGGTAACACAAGGAGAAATAGAAAAATCAGGCATAGCTGACCACATATGGAGAGAAAAGGGAGATCACCGCCCCCTGTAGGATGGGGTTGAAATAATAGACAGCATCACTGAAAAATATGAAAACTTAAGCTATCAGTACATATGCTAGGCTACAAAAATCTCCTGAGCCAACCAAGCATAGATATGAATAAAATATGAGAACCAGTAATAAGGAGTACTAGAGAAAAGTAATGACTAATAACAAAAATTTCAGTATAAGCTCTGGTAAAAAGAAAATGCAATAATAATAATAACAGAAAAATTGCAATATGAGCACTGGTAAAAATGGTGCTGAGACATTAGCTTTATAAGTCCCAAAAATTCATACACAGATGTCCTCATGGACAAAGATAAAGTGGATAAAGATTTTGGTTGGATACAGTAACTAGAACCAAAGACTTGTGAACAAAAAAAAACAAAAAAACTTGGAGAGTTGAGTTAAAGGGAAATAACTGAGACATCTGGAAGAGGCATGGAACTAGAACAGTCTACCCTGGTGGACAAAATAAAGGGTTCAGTTTGAAATTCCAATCACTTGAAGAAGGCCGAAATGTGAATATGGCAATGAAGATGAGGATAACAGTCCGAACAATGTACATAATGTAAGTAATCATAATACCTCATCTCAGAGATATAAACAGATATGAAATAAGAGGTTATAGTGGTTACATCAGTCAAGAAACATTATGCTTCTGTAGTGCATATTTGTGGCTAAGAGAAATGAAAAGATGCCTTTAAATATGTACTGTTTATCATTTAAACCAAAATTATTTCCTAAAAAGCATTGGACATTAACAGATATTTTTAGAATAAAAGATAATAACTGATCTTGTGATTTCATTTAAATCCAAATAGACAATGAATGACACTGCATGAAATATTTTTTAAATATTGGATGCAATAAAACTCGCTTAATGCTGTTCTTAATTTAATACAGTTCATTTAAATTTTTTTTATCTTAAATTTGATTTAACTGTTGAGAAGATTTAAAACTGTTTCTATTAACTAACAGTATAACTTTATGTATAAAATCTGGAATCATCTGTGTATAGATTGGTTTGATCAGTGCATTTGCAACTGTCTTTTGTACAAAAGAATTAATGTTTTGGTTCGTGTTACAGGAAACTGAAACTAAATTCAAACAATTTACAACAATAGCAGCAGTAGATTTATAAATAACAAATTTATTAAAAATATTTAATTAATACTAATATAAGGGTAATTGTTTCTTTTGATTCTTCTTTTTATGCTGGCCATCTCTTTTGTATTTATCTGTTTCACTTCATGATTTGCTCATTGTTGTAAGCAGTGATTTTTCTTTTTTTCTTTTAACAGTATAAATGTTCAAAATCATAGCTTAGATAACATCCAGTGAATTATATGGGTTTATGGTGTATAGCTGTCTTGAATCAATTTGTAAATGTTTAGAAAAAACTTAAAATAACTTTGGGAATTTCTGTTTTAGTTAGGAGCTTACTCAAAGTTTCCATGAAAAACTTTCTGTCCTTTGTTACTAGATTGAAAACAAGTATACATTCAACAATGACATGAACTTCAGACATTTTATAAAATATCATTTATTTTCATGGTTAGAAGATATATTCACTTAATTATCATATCACAGCATTAGACATATTCATACATTTGTGGTAAATGAAGAAGTCGATCTTTTAAGAAAATATTGCATTACTTTTGTTACTAGCAGTGGTGTATCCTGCATTACTGTGTGGAACGCATACAAACAATTTCTGCATTATTTAAAAAAAAACATTTTTAAATATAATCTTACCATGGGTTTCAATGCTACAAGGGAATGTTTTTTTGTCAAGAAAATAGAATTTTTTGCTTATTTTAACAGATTTCAAAATCTTTTACTAAATGTATGCATAATTACAGTCTATGAGCCAGACTTCCAAATCTTCAAACTCAGTCCCAAATTAGGGGCAATGTCTTGCTGAGATTTTTCTAGTAACAACAAATATATAGAATTGTAAGATAAATGATAGCTTTGCATGTGAAAAATGGACCTTTCAATCTGCACCTGTTTAACATGTACATTTCAGCTGCATATCTTTCAACATTATTTCAGTCTCAGTTTTGTTTTTAAAGGCAAAAATGACTAAATGTAATTTAAAATGAAAAAAATTGAAATATATAGATCTCATGTCATCTACATTAATGTATAATTATTATTTTTTTTTTTTTTAAGACAAAATGAGTTAATTCATTTTTTTTTTTAAAATCCTATGTCATGTTTCTGACTTTTAACCAAGGTAAATTTGATCTATAAACCCTTTTAATGTCTTTTCATTACCAATTCATAGAAATAAATTTCTCCTATTTGATATTTTAAATGTTTATTTTAACAACTGTTTCTGTCTTTTATATTATCATTCTCAATTGGCTTATATTATTGCATACTTGAAATTGATAGAACTGCAACTTTCCTTAATACATGTATATTTGGTATTCAGTACAAATGATGCCCACAAATCTTTTATTGTAACTTGATCTAGCTCAATTTTTTTTTTCATGTTTAGCTTCAAAATTTCAAATCTTTTACCAGATCTAATACTTTGCAAAATTGTTCTAGCATTTTTCATGATTTTTTTATTTTTAATTTTCCAATTTTTATTTACATCATTTTTTATTAGTAAATGCAAATGTTTGGATACAGTATCTGGTAAAATCATGTTGATAAGTAGTTTGAAGAAAATCTTTGTAAGTTAATACTTTGTTAACACTTAGCTGATTGTAATATATCTATGATTTGGGACATTGTGTCTGTTTTTGAAGTAACTCTAGAAAGACATGATTTGCAGTAGAAAGCAACTCTGGGGAAGAAATGTCATAATTTTGGTTGCCAGGTTGAAAGAAAGTCCTAATATATTTCTGATATACTTTCATCATTAGTTTACCTGACAGAGAAGATTTACTGAGATACACTGATGGGAGTCTTATTTGGAGTTTGTCAAAATTCTCTGGATGAAACAACTTTTTTTTTATTTTTCTACTAAGCTATGACTGATAAGAAATTACCTTCTGAGACAGTACTACATGCAAACAAGACAGAACAAATTAAGAAGTTAGCAAAGCAAGAGAAATTATTTTCAAAATATATTCATACATGGAAATCAATAAAGAGGATAATAACAAAAATGAGATTACACCAAAATTATGCCAAAATGTGTAAAATTTCTGAAAACCAAAGAAAAAGAAACCAAATGCTATTTTCTAATATTTTTTTTATTTATCATTTTAATTTTTCTGCAGGTGTAGCTGTGATAAATGGACAGGTGTTTGTAGTTGGTGGATTCAGTGGATCCTTACGAGTTCGAACTGTGGATGCCTATGATCCAGTTAAGGATACCTGGTTATCATGTCCGAGTATGAAGGCCCGCAGAAGCACGTTAGGAGTTGCCTTGCTCAATGACCTGATTTATGCTGTGGGAGGTTTCGATGGTTCTTCAGGTGACAATTCTTTTAACTTTTTCCCCTCCAAGCCCCTCCCCCTATTATGTTGGCAGATAGCAAATATGAAAGTAAGTTTTTATTGTTGATAATTAACAATACTAATTAAATATTATCTCCGATCAAATATTGATTAACCTTTAGTAAGTGCAAACAAAAAGTAAATAAAAATGAAAAGTGTCCAAATATTATAAAGTATCAAAATAATGTCCTGGTATTATGGATAGGAGGCAGATCATTGATGTTACACTTTGTACAGCTCAGAAATGAGATGAATTGGGGTAAGCAGTAGTTAAAAAATGTCTGTGTAAAACACATTTTACAAATTAGGAAATGATGTATGCATTTTGAAGTTTAGTCATTTTTAAGTTGTCAAATGATCATTAAATACAAGGAAAAAAACAACAACAACAACAATAATTGAAATGTATTCACAAGATGAGGACAATAGTCAACATGTAAATAGTGTAAATAATTGAAATATATAGTCAACTTGCTGCTTTGTGTATAAGTATCGAGATATTTTATGCTTGAATTATGATAGGCATCTTGCTAGTAAATTTTTCCACTTGATATTTAAAAATTTGATTCTCATAGACAATTACTACATAATACAATTCCGACTTTATTAATTCAATCATTCCTGGTTGCTCTTGTGCCAAACTAGGTTAAGCTATTTCCATGCCATTACCCTGAATTAATATCTACTTTTACATGTAATCAGAGACAAAACAAACATTTCAACATTAATTTGATCCTTTACTGAATTCCTTTACTTGTGTGGCCCTCTGCCAGACAAAAAGATAACTTTAGTAATTTAAACAGCAATTGAATACCAAACATCACCAAAAAATAAGACTGCAGAGTTTGCAACAAGTCTGTAGGTTTTGTATAAATGATTTAATATTGTTGTAACCTAGAAAAGGTTACTGAATGAGGAATATCCAAAGCAGAGGTTGGAAATGAAATGGTAATCTTTATAACATCAACAAAATACAATACTCGCCAGTGGTGTGAAGTAGGTCAACCACAACTAGTGGTGTACTACTTATTACCCCCACTTAGTGTTCATAGGTACAGTATATAACAAATATATTTCTTTATTAATTCAAGTTTCTTTTGTGAGGTGAATGTTTTTTGTTTTTTTATTATTATTCTTTTTTTATTATTTTTCTTTTTTTTTTTTTTTTTTTTTTTCTGTATGTTTTTACTTACTGACTTATAACCAGGTGTCTACTTTCTTTTTTCCTGTTGGTCATCAGGACTAGACAGTGCAGAATGTTATGATGTAAAGACCAATACATGGCGATCAATAGCCTCGATGAGCATCAGGCGGAGTAGTGTAGGAGTTGGTGTTGTTGGCGGTGAGAACTTTTTTTCTTATTTTTAACACTGATGAATGTTTTCTTACTACCATTGAGGTGTACCTAACTAATATTTATAATTATTGCTTCATATCTTTCAATTGTTTATTTTATTGCTTTGTGTGTTTTCTTTTAAAATTCATGTCAAATCAAGAGTCAGAAAATAATTCTACCACATTTTTCTTTCTTTTTTTCTGCAAATGGCCTTAAGATAATTTTGAAAAGATTTTTCTTAAAATTACAGAAAGTAATTTTGAAAATAGAAAAGAATTCATGCCTTAGATATTTCCAATAATATGTACCTAAATGATATTTTCACCCTCTTGTTAATCCTGTTGACTAATTTATAGTCATGCTTTAGTTTTTATATATATATATATATATATATATATATATATATATATAGTTTGCTTTACAAGTTATAGATTAGAAATCTTGTTAAAACTAATAAAAAAAACTCTTGATTAAATTTGATTTGCCTTCTTATTTTAGCCTTTATCATTGGCTTGTGTAAATTCCCATTGACAATCAAATTAGCAATGTTCTGCTATTGCTGCATTATTTTCGTTGTTGAATTAATAACTCTTGATCTATGCAGGTCTGCTCTATGCAGTTGGTGGATATGATGGCTGTTCTCGGCAGTGTTTGAGTACAGTGGAGTGTCATGATGCAGAATCCAATACGTGGCGACCAGTGGCAGAAATGTCTTGTCGGCGTAGTGGTGCAGGTGGGTAACTGAAAGAAAGCTAAGGGGGCAAAGGTTTTAATTTATTCATTGCATACAAATGGTTTATTATGTAAACATTTCTATTTTTTAAGCATAATCCTGGAAAATATAGAAAGTAAAATAATTTTCACATGTGATAGACATTATCAGAAAATCTCATCCCAATACGAAATGTCAATATGAAAAAAAAGTAAGACCTTAACTGGAGAAAAGTCAGTATAACTCCCAGACATAATTGTCTGCATTTTTTCCACAATGCAACTTAACAACCAAAAAATGATCACAGAGAAAAGGATTATAAAAAAAGAAAAAAAACTTGCAGACCAGATTATAAGAAGGACCATAGCATTTTTGCATTAGACAAGACTTCACCTAAATATGAGCTGAGAATAGACTGGCTGAAATGTTATGAAAGAACAAATAAATCAATGTCATATGAAGACTTCTAAAAAACAAGAAACATTTGCATTTCTTCTGAAATATCAGACAAATTGATTAAAGTATTTCTACTTTTCTGGTCCTTCTCGTTTTACTCATAGAAATCAACATCATGGGATATTATTCATATACACAAATAACAAAAAAACACATCTGCATATTAAATCTTTTAACACTGTCATTTATTTATTTCATTTTTTTTTTTTTTTTTTTTTTTCAACATGATTTAGAAATGGTACAGATTAAAATTTAACTTATAGAAATTTAAAAATTGGCTTGATAATCTGATTGAGTCATAAATTGGAAAATATCAAAAATTATTGATTTAGATACACTAAACTGAAAGCAGTAATATTTTTATAATTGAAGACCAAAGTATTTTCTTTTTCATATGAAACTTTTTATTAGAGTACATGCTTATTCAAGAGATGCTCTGAAAATAATGTCTCTTGTTGTTATCTTTGATTTCCCTCAGTAATACAACACAGATCAAATATGCGACAATATGAAACACAATAACGCTGTCTAAACAAGTTTTCAGCTACAAAACCGTTTTTCTCTCCACATATAGGGACCAACATCAGCTCTGCATTTTTACCAGCAATGAACAAGAGCCTGACACTTATAAACATGGCTTTTCACACATGTTGTCATCATCACTGTTGAAATACATCACCCACTACCTGTTTCTCACACCCACTATTTTGGTCTCTATAAACAGTCAGCAAGTGTTAATGAATGTCAATAAGTGCAATTATTTCTGCATGAAGGAAATCAATGGTAGACATCTGCTTCATCTGTACTTTTATGTAAGACAACATTTTTCCAAACTACCACTTAGCGTCTATCTGTGACAACATACAATACATGGTGTGATCAAGGAGATATTACATTCAGAGTTACATTCATAGATATTTATTCCATCAGTTGAGATAACTATTCTTAAATTCCTAAATAATTAGCAATTTAATCAGAAGAGGCTTGAAGTTCTCATCTGTATATGTTTGTATGTTAAATATGCTTGAATGCTAGAAGAATATCTAAGAACATGGTTATTTGCTTTTATGAAAATGCCATGTCTCTTGTTTTAGTTTTGTTTTTGTTGCAGGTGTTGGCGTTTTAGATGGTCTATTATATGCTGTAGGTGGGCATGATGGCCCACTAGTACGGAAAAGTGTGGAAGTATATAATCCAGAAAAAAATATATGGTCACCAGTTGCAGATATGCATTTATGTCGAAGGAATGCGGGTGAGTATTTCTTTTATGTTGTTTTAAATAATAAGATTAAAAAAGAATTATTAAATTTAATTAAATTGGGTGATGGACATTATTTTCATAATTACTTAGATTTATATAAAAATTTACTTAGCACTTTTTTTATTTTAAAATTCTAGTTTAGACATTTTTTTTCCATTAAGGTCCACCCTGTACAAGGCTTGGAGGCCACTCAGGTAGAGGTTATGTTAAGAGGTAGTTTATATGGATAGAAGGGGAAGATAACTGTTGACTAGACTTGAACAGGTTAAGATTGTAATGATTGGAGAAACATTCTCTTGGGAGTCTGAATTGTGGGAAGAAGCTGTTCAAGTGGAACCTACTTTTCACCAAAGGAATATGGAAGGGGAATGTAAGTGATTTGCAACAATGTAAATAAGTATGGCAGGTCCTAGCTGTGAAGGTTATACCTGGTAGAAACAAAGAATATAGTTCATCTGAACACTTTGCATGGAACTAGTGATAGAACAGTGAGGGCTTGGAGACACCTAAATCTTAAATAAAAAGCAATTTTTGTAAAAGTAACTTCCTCTAGAAACTCTATTGTTTCTGAAGAGAATTTCAGCTGCCAGTGAAAGAGACTTGCATTTGAATGAAGCACTTTTGTAAAAAGTGAAGCCAAAGAGTTAATAAAAAGCTGATGTTTTTAAAATTATAGTAATATGAAAATGTTTTGTTTAGACATGATGTCAATTTTACCCAAGCAATAATTTTTAAAGTGATTTTGTTTTATATGAGGCAATAAAACAACAATTGTACTATTGATAATAAAAACAGCAATTATTATTGCTACTTGATGGTATTAGAAATAACTTTTGACAAGAGAAAAATTAAAAACTGTTTTGTGTTGTACAAGGAGGGGAATCAGTGTAGGTCATAAAAATCCTTAAATTGAAACTAGAAATTTGTTTTCTGTGTGCTGTATCTCTTCAGGATATTGGTGGTTATCATTTTCTACATTTTCTTGTCTTTTTTTTTTCTATCAGCCACACATTCATTCTTTTTTTTTATGGCCTCTTATATCTTTGTGATATAAAAATTTGATAGATTACATTAAAAATAGGTCTTCTTGATATTTGCCCAAGGTTAAATGGTGAGAGAATAGGAATTGAAAGACTGTATTGTACTAATCTTCTAAAAGGGCAGGGTCTTCTTGTTTTGAAAGAGTATTCAAAACTTGAATTTTGGCACTGATATAAAATGTGCAACTGTTTCAGCTACAAGGTAAAATTCAGAATACTCTCTACCTAAACATGTCTCAAAGGTAAAAAGAAGTCAAATATTTCAAATCAGGAAGAATGATAAAGAATTTGATTTCAAGCTTAACTTCTGACTGGTAGATTCACTCTGCATCCAGAACCTTTGACAATTTATTGGCAAAGCACAAAGGCTAATTTGAATTTGATCTCATTTCTAATGATTTCTATTCTTGGATGAAGTCATTTTTAAAAAATTTTTTGCTCTTCCTCAGTGTTTCCCTATTGAAAACCAGGAAAGTTAGATATTTTAAATTTCAATTTAATCCACCACCCCCCACCCCACTAGATAAATACTCTCTTTTTACATCAGACCACTGGAGAAATATTCACTTTCTACTAATTATTTCTTTTTTTATAAACAGCTTAAGAAAATAGTTCTAGCTAAACTTACCTATTCTTTGTCTTTTCTACAAATATTTTCATGGCAACTGTTCTGATGATCTTTTCCCCTGGTACTCTGAATATATGAATTTAAGTGTGCTACTAGATTGGCAATTAGGTCTCACTGTTTTACTGTTGAACTAGCTAGATGCAACTGCCATTTCTACTGTAACAGTTTCTTTTCTCTCACCTCTCACTTGTGGATTTCCTTCCAACTTCTTGTTTCTCTGATAACTATAATCTTCAAAAATGTAAATGCAACATCAATTGCCATCTTCCATTTTCTTGGTCCCTGTTCCTTTTTGTCCTTTCTTCAATCTTCCTCATTCTCAGTCTTCCCTTTCACTTTCATTCCCTGTCACCCCCCCCACTTCATCCTTGTGGCATCGTCACATTGCTTGGGGTGAAACATCTTATTTGTAATTGTACATTGTGTTGATTTTTGATGAAACTGATAAGCACAGAAATGGTGTTAGCCAAAATCAAAAGGTTTCTTCTAATTATTTACATTTTCTGTTTCATTACAAAAATGGGGAAAAGCAAATCTAACAAAATAAAATTAAGTCCAGGTTCTTAATTAGGCATTTCAGAAGTAATCTTTATAATGTCTGTGCAATAATCTGTCACCAATTTAATTCCAAACAGGTTGAGAGATTAGCACAGGTCAATTCAGTTTCATTTTGGTATATATTTTGATTTATTCTAATTTGGATTAGAAAATACTTTTGCTCCTGATGTCTGAATTTTCAGGGTAGTTTTAAAAACTTGATCAATTTCCCTTCTCCAACTTATTGATTAAAATATTGATTGAGAGATCTTGCATTTTTAGCCTTTTTTTACACATCTGACTTTATCTAGGTGTAGACATTTCTCTTGCAATGAAGAATGTTTAATTATTGTCTGAGTTAAATATTTAACCATCACAAAATGTTTTTCTACTGCTGGCTTGTAAAATCTCGGCTACCCTCAAAGCTTTTTACAATATTTTTTACAATATGTCCCCATCTTTGTTGTCATATTCACAACATTTCAACTGTTGTACACTCTGGCCTTATTCAGATGATTGGAATTTCAAACTGACCTCTTTATTTCATCCACCAGGGCAGACTTTTTGTGAATATGACAACAAAGATGAGGACAATAATCCAAACAATGTAAATAGTTTAAATAGTTACAATAACTCATCTCAGAAATATAGACAGACCTCAAAGCTTTCTTACTACATAAAGATTGGTATCATAAACAAATAAAGTATAATTGTTTTGTTTTTGATATCTGTAAGCCAGAATAAGTCCATTAAAGATTTTCTCTTTCTGATCTTTTATTTTTCTTCTGATTAATTCTATAAAAACTTTTTTTGTATTGTGTTGTGAAATATATAACTATTAAATCATTCAGTCTACCTTTCCCCCTGTCTAAATGAAAAATATATGTTTGTTTTTTTTATTTCTAGAAATAATATTATTCTGAGAAAATTAACCTTTTCATATCCAATGACATTGTTTTACTTACATTCAGTCATACCCACCAAAATTCTTATTCTTTACTGTTATACATATCAAAATCAGTATAAAACTTTTCTTTCTGACAGATTAATAAATAAAAAATCCATTAATTCTTTAGAAATTGCTTTGTTTATATTTGAATACAAAACTGAGCAGATATGAAATTTTGAGATTCTATGAGAATGATTTTGCGTTAAGGCACTATTCAACCTTGCTTGATTGGTAATGGCCTGTGATCTAACAGTAGTTTCTCTTGGCAAGAACACAGGCTCAAATCCTGCCAGAGAGCACAGGTTTTACTTTAATAAGATTTCTCAAATATTCTGGCTGGTAGACAAAAATAAATGTACTGTTTAAAAATATAAAAAGAAAAAAAAAAACAGAACAAAACACTATCTACTCACTCAAACAAGAGTATCCACTAAAAATAATGTGATGTGTGTGTGTATATAATTTCACCCCATGCAAGCCTAAAGCCACTAGGACACAAGGGGATACTGAGTGTTAGAGAATATGAGAAAAATACACTATTAAGAGGGACAACAATAAAAGAAGAATTAAGAAGGCAGAAGTTAACAGTTGACATTGCATTTAAATTTTTTAAAAACTGGGGAGCACAAAGCTGGAAGAGAGTTCCACAAGCAAGAAGTGCAGTAGAAGAAACTGTTAGCATAGATGGTTAGCATTATGGTTACATCTAATTATTTCAACTGTAAAATGATGAGACTTTACACTAGGCAACGCCACTGAATGTTCGATAACCTAAGGTTTAAAATTAAATTTAAAAAATGAAAAAGCATTCTTAAAGATTACATTTTAGTTTTAATTGTGAAAGCTAAACAATTAAATTTATTATTTTCAGTAAGTAAAATATTCTGGTGTATTTCAGATAGAAATTATATAGATTGGAATTAAAGATTTTTTAAAAAGCGGCCATTTTCCTAATTTTAAGAAATTTGTAAACAAACAAATTTATCACTTTATAAATTTAGTTATAGATTGGTGACACAATATTTGAGTAAAATTAGAAAATTTAAAGTTAAATTAATCTGATTTGAAATAAATGTTACTTATAGCATAAAAACCAATATGCAAGCATTTCTTAACATGGGTCCCCTCTTTCTTTGATCTTTATTGACTTATTGAGAAGCTCTCAAGGTGATATTTAGTGAAATAGCAATTAAGAAAAGCAAAACATTTTTCTGATATTTTGAAGAGATGTTTTGCAAAGATGTTAATGATGAAACAGAACTGAATTAAAAGTGAAATAATTGCAGTGCATCAGACGACACTGAAATCATGTGACCTTTTTATTTTAATGATAGTGTCATGTATAGATTCCCATAGGTAGAAATTAGGAACGTTTTTTTCATTAAAAATTATTTTTAAAAATATTTGGGTACACTATTTACATTGTTCATCCCCTTCTTTGTTGCCATATTTATCACAACGTTTCAGCTGTTCTATGCTCCAACCTTCTTCAGGTGGTTGGAATGTTAAACTGAACCCTTTATTGCACTCACTAGGGTAGATTGTTCTAGTTCCACGTGCCATGTCTAATGGATGTCAGTTATCAGTTATCTCCTGTTAATTCCCCTCTCCAATTTCTCCACTGTCTTAACCAGGTATTGAACTCACACTCTTTGGGTCCTGTCACTGGATCTAACTAACGCCTTTATCCACTGTGCCATGTGTCCTTGAGGTGGTTGAGAAGTTCTAACTTATTTACAAAAGCAATTAAAAGCTTTTCTAATTAAATAATATCATAGTTTTATTTCATTTTATATTTTACAATTCAAAGCAGATTTTCAATGAAAGAGGTAACTGT